ATTAGAGAGAACAGAAATGTATCAGTGGCACAAAATTCACCGCAAATTTGTCCAGTTCCAGTTTCAAATCAAACTACAAATGGCGACAACTGCCAGAAATTACGATAGAATCTTCAGGATTTTCTGCAGCGATGGCTTCATCTTGGCAAAGTTTAAACTGAATTGCCATAGAAATAAAGCCAGGGAGATGTCTGTTTACATTACACCACTTCCCAGTTCGATTCTCTCTCACCTATACTCACATTGGATAGATTTTGAAATATTTTAATCACCATTAATTGCTAGAGTGTGGAGTGATTCAGGTCAATACCAGAGAAATAGATTTAGATAAATAAATGAGGGAGAAATGAATAGATGAACATGTTTATACAGTCAGATAAAGTTGAGACGATGATCACATGGAGCATAAATATTTTCAGACTGAATGAACCAAATAGACTGTTCCTATGCTGTGAATTCTGTAATTAAATGAACTGTAACCTCTCCATGCTATTAATGCAGATTTAATTTAATTATCTCATGATACTATCTATAAAGGGAAATTATACCATTTTTAGGTTGCAATCTACTTGGTTATCATAAAGTAGCTAAGATTTGCTATAAGAAACAGAACAGTAGATTTCATATAGTGGTGATATATATGGGAGCCATGACTCCAGGTAAAATAGTTGGCGCAGATGAGTTGCACTATGACTCAATGACACTGTACAAGTACAAGTAAATTTTATTACAAGATGCTCACTATGACTCCAGAACTGTTAAATTTAATTGGCACAGTGTAATAAAATTTACTGTCACTGGTGTAATGTCATTTTTTCTTAAAAAACAGAAGTCACAACCAGCAATCACAACACCACATTAAGGCCTTTATCGTAATTAAGGCCTTTATTGCGATGATCTCAAAAATTGTTGATTTCTTGTTTGGGAGTGTCAATCGAAAAATTAAAAAGCGAGATTGATAGATTTTCTTAGTTTAGGATATTAGATATGGAATCAAGGTGGGTAAATGAAGTCAAGACACAGATCTGCCATTCAATGGTAGACTAGACCTGAGAGCTAATTAGCCTACTCCTGTTTTAATAAAGTGTGGGGTCCACATCATCATTGGCTTCTACCCGCAGAGCTTTGGTATCTGGAGAAGGTGAACAGACACAAGTCCTTTTATATTGTTCATCAGACATAGAGTACAGAGTAATTATAATGCCAAGACAATATTGGAATCCTGAAATGACCAGTCCAGTTTTCAGCCTCACAGGCATTGTATTCTCGTTTCTGCATTGCACATTCCTTGTGTTGGTGAAGCAAGACTGTCACATTACGAACGTGCTGTGGACTGTGGCACTGGATTGAGAAGGGCCCAACCATTTCTGCTGAATTTATTAGAAGGCAGCCATTTCAGACATGCTTTTTAACTTCCTCCATTCAGGTTGATTCTGAAATTAGCACCCAGAATATAATTCTCATGGATCTACTAAACTTGAACATTATTCAGCCTCAAATATCTCACTGGAATATATATTGCAATCTGAGAACTGAGAATTACAACATATCCTCAAACTTCTGACACATGATATTCTAATAAATCTTAATTAACACTATTTTACCAAAAATCCAAGTGAAAACTTTATTGTAATTCAGTTACAGATTTAAAAGCCTTTTTGCCTACTTCATGAGCCTTTCACTACTGGTGTTGAGTACACAAGCTGACTGCCTAACTCCCAATCAGGCTCCTGTTATTATTGGTATTGTTGATGACAAGCTGGAATCAGTGATGTTTCAGTTCCTGGATTCTAGGAGTGATCTGATACTTCACTCCCCAAAGACGACATTACCAGCATATTCATTAGAGACCAAAAATACTGCAGATGCTGGAATCCAAGGTTGACAAACAGGAGGCTGGAAGAATGTAGGACCTGAAGGAGGATAATACCCGAAACGTTGACTTCACCTTTCCTCCAGATGCTGCCTGCCTGGTTGTGTTCTTTCAGCCTCCTGTTTGTGAACCAGCATATTCATTACTGTTCAACAACTCATGTCACCTGAACACCTTAATTTCTGTGAGTGACAGAAGTAAATGTTTGAATTGACTGTACAGTCAGAAAAAAAATTACTGCCATGATATTTTGTGCCATTGGGGGGGGGGGGGGGGGGGGGGGGG